TCCTAAATCTCCAAGTCTTTTGGAAGAGAAGAGAAAAAGGAGTTTTGATCCAAAAAGTGTGTTTCTTTTTTTTTAAAAAGCGTTTTTGTGGCAAAAACGGAAAATTTCCGGGAAATTTTTAAGTTTACGGGAACTTACCTTTCTTGTCTTGCAAATAAGGAAAGTTTAAAACTTACGGAGAATCTTTACCGGTTTTACCGGGAATACTCCAGAAATCACCGGGAAACTTCGAAAAGCGGCGGAAATCCGCGTCGTCACCTCAACGACCAACGGCCGCGGTCAGGAGACGCGCGACCGCAGTGATCAAGGTCTCGGCCGCGGTCACATTCACGGTGCCGCGGTCGATGCTTCCTTGGCCGCGGGTCGGTCGGTCGCGACCGCGGCTCTTCCTCCTGCGGCCTTTTTCCAATCTTCTCGTCTTTGCCGGGCCGAGCAGCTAAAAACCTTCCTTTTTCTTCTTGGTTTTTCTAATTTTCTGAATTTTTTTGTGTTTTTGTTTTATAAAATACCTGAAACTTAAAAGAAAAAGAAAGCATAAATTGTAAAAAGGAAAGGAAAACTAAAAGAAAGAGTACCTAAATGGGTTGCCTCCCATTAAGCGCTTTTGTTTTAAGTCGTTTAGCTCGACGTAGGCATGAAGAATCAGGCTGATTTGAATGGCACTCCACTTGATGTGCCCTTATCACTTCCGGTAGCTGGAGGTTTTACTTCTTCTCCTTGAGGAGCCGGCTTCTTTCCTTTACTCTTCTTTCGGACTTTAATATTGTTTAAAACCCTTTTTGTGTTTTCGATCAGCTCTTGGACTTGGTTCTCACTAGTTTCTGTTGCATCTGGTGGAATGATGATCTTGATCTTTGCAAAAGCTTTCGGCTTCTCCTTCTCTTTCTCTTTTGGCCTGTTTCCTTTGCTTGGAAAATCGTCTAAGATAGTCGGATAGTACATTCTGCGACCACATTGAGGAAAACAGCATGCCGGTTTGCGTGATCGATTACTGCTCCTACTGTAGCTAGGAATGGTCTCCCGAAAATGAGTGGCCTCTCCTTGTCTTTATCCATCTCCAGGACTTGAAAATCTGCTGGAACGATCTTGTCTCGCACTAGAATTTGTAGATCATGAATCGCCCCTTCAGTATCTTTTTGAGATGAATCTCCAAAAATAACTTTAACCGTCGATGTCCTTACGGTTTTTATGCCCAATTTCTCGGCAAATGTCTTAGACATGATGTTGACATTGGCTCCGAAATCGCAGAGGCAGTCTGTAAACTTGATTCCTGAAATGAAACATTGGAAAACAAAACGTCCCGGATCATCGGCTTTTGTAAGCCTTTGAAACGGTGATCGTTCAGGTACCTTAAATGGTGGCTGCTTGGCATCGACATCTTTGTACAGTGGTACAAAGATTGGGGTTTCTTCTTTCATTCCATCGGTTCTGGCCTCTTCTTCGGGCAATGTGGTTATGGCGTTGCAAAACTTCTTAGGGTGATCTTCAACTCTTCCTGGAAGAACTCCACTTTGCCTCTTCATAGAGTCGGCTGTTTGGGCGACTTGCACGTCTAGCTTTTAGACGTGCGAAGATAAAGATTCGAACTTACCGTTCAGATCATTGTACATGCAGTTGACTTTCACGTTCACGTCTTTAAATGCTTTTTTGTTCGTCATAACGAGCTGTTGGATGGACTGTTCAAGTCTACCGATTTGTGAAGCTAGCTGGTTCGTCGTGACTCCCTGCTGTTGTACAAATTGATTGTTAAAACCTGTACCTTGGTAGTTATATGGTTGTCGCGGTTGATATGGTACTATTCCTCCGAAGTTTCCACCTTGAAACTTGTTTTGGAAGGATTTTTGCTGAGGTGGGTAATATTGATCTTGAGGATTCTCCACATTTGGATTGCGGTAAGAGAGATTGTTGTAATTTGCATTCCGGAAGTTGTTGTTGAAGCCATTGTTGGAACGGTTTTGATATGGAACTAGTGCTCCTACATAGTTCACATCTTCTTCTTGAAAGGCCTGATTAATGTGATCAATATCACTAGGTCCTTCATCTTCTACGCCATTGTTGGTCTCACAAGAATGGATTGGGCGATTGTTGCTCTTCAGAAGCTGGCTCATCATGTTCTTCAACTCGGTTATCTCCTTGTTGCCTGTTCCGGTTTGCTTCATCGATCGATCGTATTTGGGACAATCATTGCTATTGGCTTGAGCCAAATTTTCGATGAGGGATCTTCCTTGGGCTATCGTCTGTTGTCCAAAATCTCCATTGTTAGCTGTATCAAGTGAAAGTTTGTATTTTGGTTGCAAACCTCGGTAAAATGTGCTCAGCAGGCTTGATCCATGAAATCCATGGTGAGGGCAATCACGTTCGTACTCCTTAAAACGTTCCCAGGCTTCATAGAAAGATTCAGTTGGCCCTTGTTGAAAGTTTGAGATCTTTGTTCTCAACTGATTCGACCTTGACTTAGTATAGAAGTGGTTCAAGAAAGCAGTTTTACATTCTTCCCAATTAGTAATCGATCCTGCAGGCAAAGATTTCAACCAACGGTGAGCTTTATCTGCTAATGAAAAAGGGAACAACTTACACTTTAAATAGTCTGGTGGAACTTGGTTTGTTCTCATCATGCTGCAGATTTCTTCAAAGAGCTCGATATGGTCCATTGGGTGTTCAGAAGGAACTCCATGGAATTGGTTTTGCTTCACCAATAAGATGATTTGAGGCTTGACTTCAAACTCATTCTGGTTCGGAAATGGAACTTGAATTGCAGATCGGTTCTGAAAATTTTGAGTAGGTGCATCAAAATCAGCTATGCGATGGTTTTGGGCTTGTCTTCGGTGTTGATTTGCTTGCTGTACAGGGCGGTTAACGCGCCCATTCGGCTGCATCCCTTGGTGGTCACCATCGGCTGCATTGATGGGTGCTTCAAGGTCTTCACGTTCTTCTCTCTCGCGGTTCTGGTGGTTTCTTGGAGGAACCTCATCCTCCTCTCCATCTTGTCGAGCATGATCACCTCCTCTGTGATCATTCTCTTCATTTTCTCCATGTTCGGACCCGTCTTGGTCCATATTTAAAGCTCGGTTAATAGGATCTCCAGGCTGGTCGTCGTTGGCCATTCCTTGCGTTCGTCTAAGTCTTCGAAGTTCTCTTTCGTGTCTGTCTATCTCGTCTAGAATTGGAATGTTTTCTACAGGTCTGCGCCTGGTATTCATGCAATTCAGAGAAAAACAAAAGAAGGGAATGATAATTCAGCGAAACTTTAAGAAAGAACTAGAGATCAGGTGTCTAGAACAGAAGTTAAAACAAGAAAAATAACAAAAGGCAGCAAAACAAATATTCCCCGGCAACGGCGCCAAAAACTTGATGTCGTGTCAACTGCGTGAGGGAACAAGTTTTACCCTTAACAAAACAAATGAAAAAGCCGCAAGTGCACAGCTAATCAGTTGTAGTATTTAGGGATCGAATCCACAGAGATTTGTGTGCCTGGTATTCTTCTACGGTTTTTAACTTTATGTCTAGACTAAATTGGTTTTAAAGGTTGGTTGTTTGTCACGAATTAAACTAAAACAAAAGAAAGCAAATAAATCTATCCAAGAAAGCAAGTAGAAAAATCGAATGGAAAGGAAGTAAAGCAAGTAAAATATCGAACTAAAGCAATTGAAATGCAGATCTAAATAAGCAAGTAAAAATCGATTGGTTTGTAAACTATGGCTAAAAACGCTGAGCTTTTGGGAACTCGAAGGGATCATAATCGGTTTTTGACATTAGGGTAAATAGATTGGGATTGACGGATATCAATATATAGGTGGTTCTAGAGCTAGAGTACGGCGGTATGACTACATCACTGTCGTGATCATAACCAACTGTTTCTCGCAACCCTGACCAGTAGGTTTCCACTCTGGCCCTGGAAGGGAGAGAACACAAGAGCTGCACAAGACTCGTCAATACTCACGATCTCGCCGCAGGTAGGTTTCCACTCCTACGGAAAAATCGCCTGTTTCATTCTAGGGCTGATACTTAATGAAAACTTTCGCAACACTAACTATCTAGATCAGATACTAGGTGATCAATCAAGCATACATGCAATAAGAACAAGAATAAACAGAAAACAGGTCGAAATCCCAGATCTATAAACCTAGATGTCTTAATCGATTATGAGAGCCGCTTTCGGGAACCCTAAGCCCAACTCGGGATCTACTCAGACATGGCTGAGGTCGACATCATCATTGGTTTCAATAAAATTAATGAAAAACAGTAAAGAAAAGAGATGAAGAAAGCTTCTCTACTGAAGAACTCGGACTTGAACAATCTTCTACAAAAATCGCATAAAAACGGCTAAAGGAAAAGGGTTTCTGTAAAGTATGAATTGTTCTCTGTAAAAACGACCTAAATGACATGTATTTATAGTCTTCAATACTCCATGGTCTCTAGGGTTCCGGAATTGAGGCTGAGAATGACTTTGGGCTTCAGATACATGGGCTTTAGTTCGGAGCTTGATGGCCGCGTTCGGGAGTGACGTGACCACGGGGATTTGGTGTTTGGCCGCGGTCGGGAGGCTTCTGACTGCGGGAAATTGGTTGTTGGTCGCGGTCGCCTGACTTGCTGGCCTTCTTCGAGTGGCTCCGTGGCTAATGGAATATCTAGAGATCCAACCGTTGGAATGTCTCCAAACCAAGTGCATTTGAAAGCTGGTTGATTCTTCTGTAAGTTGTCCAATTTTGAGGGTGATCAGACGGAGAGAAGATCTTCGTCTCTCCATGAGACTTCTGACGGTCTGCATTTATCCAAAAGAGTCTTTTTGTTCCAATTCGTGCCTCTTTATCCCAAATTATCTGAAAGGTCTTTTAAAATCCTGAAACATAGAAATCCTTTGAAAACCTTTGAGAATGGAGTAAAAACACTTGTAAAAGATATTAAAGTGATCCATAAAAATGGTCAAAATCCGGTGTTATCACCGTTCACAACAAAGCCATGTCCGTCTTTTCCCTCTAAGACAGCGGCTCCATATGGTTTCACTCAAGAACTCTAAACGGTTTGGACCACCTAGACTTGAGTTTTCCAGGGAACAACTTGAGTCTAAAATTGAATAACAGCACTTGGTCCCCTTTTCTGAACTCTCTGTTGTGTATCTTCTTGTCACAAAGCGCCTTGGTCTTCTCTTTGTAGATTTTAGAGCTCTCAGAAGCATCTAACTGAATCTCCTCAAGTTCATGAAGCTGTAGAACCCTTTTTTCTTGAGCGGTCTTGATGTCAAAGTTCAATAACTTCACTGCCCACAAGGCTTTGTACTCCAACTCAACCGGTAGGTGACAGCTCTTTCCATACAAGAGGTTAAACGGTGAGGTTCCTATGGAGGTCTTGTAAGCGGTTCTGTAAGTCCAAAGAGCATCATCTAGTTTCTTGCTCCAGTCTTTCCTTGAATTGTTCACAGTCCTCACTAGAATCACCTTGACTTGCCTGTTTGAAACCTCAACTTGGCCACTGGTCTGAGGGTGGTAGGGGCTCGCCACCTTGTGCTTGACACCATGCTTCTTTAACAAGTCCTCAAGAGTCTTTTTAATAAAGTGTGCCTCCATCACTTATTACAACTCTAGGCACTCCAAACCGTGGGAAGATGATGCTTTTGAAAAGCTTACACACCAGTTTTGAATCGTTTGTGGGACTTGCAATCGCTTCAACCCATTTAGAGACATAGTCTACAGCCACCAAAATGTACTGGTTACTGTGTGAAGAGATAAACGGCCCCATGAAGTCTATTTCCCAACAATCAAAGACCTCCACCTCAAAGATTGGATTCTGAGGCATCTCACTTCTCTTAGAGATATTTCCATGCTTTTGACACGATTCACAGCTTGAGACGACAGCTTGGGCATCTTTAAACATCGTCGGCCACCAAAAACCACATTTTCAAACCTTGGCAACCATCTTGAAAGCCCCTAAGTGCCCACCATAAGCAGAACCGTGGCACTCTTGTAACACAGGCTGAACCTCCTCTTCAGCTAAACACCTTCTATAAAGATGGTCTTTGTTGAGCACAAATAAGTATGACTCATCCAAATGATATCTCCTCACATCTTTAAAGAACTTTTTCCTCTGATATGAATCCAATTCAGGTGGCTCTAAACCGCATGAGAGGTAGTTAACAAGATCAGCAAACCATGGGAGGCTCCTCTCTCTGATTGTATTGGCCTGTTCAACCTCTTGATGCGAGCAAAAGCGCGGGGTTGTTGTTTTCATTTTACTAAGCTTCAGGTTTTAAATTTATAACCCCTAAATGTCTGCAAGTGCACAGATGTGCGTTGTAGTACTTAGGGTATCGATCCACAGAGACTTAGTTGTTTCAGTACGAATTCACGGCAATGCTTAAATCAGACTAGAACTAAACAGGTTTTGGTTTTGGTTTTGGGTTTTGGTTGTCAGTAAATCTAAACTAGAAAGCAAGTAAAAAGCAATTGAAAACAAATCAAGTGCAAGCAAGTAAAAATCGATTATGAATGAAAGCAAGTAATAAGCGAATGAAAAGCAAATGAAATCGAAGGTTGTAAACAATTAAAACAAACGTTGGGGCTCAAGGGGTTTCACAGGGGTTCATGGACTAAGCAATGTCGATTTTAAACAAGTGATAAAGGTAATCAACTACGTATGTTCTAGAACTCGAGGCACGGAAGTATGAATAGCCTACTTTTGCAGCACTAAACAACTATCTCTCGCAACCCTGATCAGTAGGTTTCCACTCTGATCCTGGAAGGGAGAAGATGCAATAGCAGAACAAGACTCGTCAACATTCACAACTCAACTACAGTTAGGTTTCCACTCCTATAGAATAATTGCTCGTTTCACCCTAGTTCAGACAATCAATGAAAGCTTTCGCAACATATCATATCAGATCGGCTTCTAAGTGGCCAGCAGAGAATCACGCAGTAAGATTAAAGGCAAACGAAGAATATTTAGAAGATTAATAATCCTAAATCTATCGATTCATAAGCAAAGACACATGAAATTCCCTTTGAACAATCCTTTAAACCTAACTGGGTAACTACTCAAACATATTTTAACAAATCATCATAAACGAAATGGAAAGTGCAGGAAATTAAAGAGAACAAGGAAGAGAAACGAAGAACAGAGAAGCGGACGCAGGCGCGATGATTGCACTCCAGCGGCGGCTCCTCCATCTTCGAAGACAGCGGCTCCTCCTTAGGGTTACACAAAAATCTCTCTCTCTCCAAGTATGTCTAAGTTTCGGTCTCCCCTCTTTAAAATGACCTAAAGAGGGTATTTATAGCTTTTGGAGTGGTCCTGGACACTTAGGGCTTCAAAAATAACGAAAAGAATTGATCTGGGCTATAATTAAGTCGTCTGGAAAGTGAACGACCAAGTCCCGCGGTCGCAGTGGCTCTACCCGCGGGAAAACAGGTGTTGGCCGTGGTCCCGGCACATGGTTCTCTTCCGGAACTGCATTTTCTGTCACTCTTGAATCGGGATTATCTGAAGATCTAACCGTTGGAAATCTGGTTGGATCCTTTATGTTGTCTCAAATTTTGGGAGTGATCAGACGGTGAGAAGGTCTTCATCGCTTGTCATACTTCTGACGATCTGCATTTCTCCAAAATTGCTCATTTGTTCCAAATTGCATATCTTTTGCCCAAGTTTCCTATAAAGTCTTCTGAAACTCTAAAACATTGAAAACACTTTAAAAACCATTGAAAACAGAGTTAAACACCTGCATAAGATACAATTATGATCCATAAAAGTGGTCAAAATATGGTGTTATCAACTCCCCCAGACTTACCTTTTTGTTTGTCTTCAAACAAACTTAAGTCAGGAAAGAAATTTTTGAAAATCGCAGGAACTAAACAATATCTCAGTGACCGTCCTTCTAAACCATAATTTATCGTGAAACATCTATTTGGATCTAGTCTAGAAAATTCTCACCAAAATACAAGTAAAACTAGTCCGTTAATCCGTTATGCGAAAAATCTACACACTTAGATCGAACTTCCAGTCAACTAGCTCTCTACATTCATTAAGTGTAATGGTGAATTCTCATCAAAGGCATTATTCTGGGCAGACGGCCTTTGGCATTAGAGGCTATTTAAGTGGTGGAGTTTAAGTGTTTAGGGTTACCTGAAGAATCTGGAGGATGCAAGATATTATGCAAAACCGCAAGAGAGAGAAGGACCTGTTGATGACCGCAGATTTTCAGTCACTTCTCCTTTGCCAAATGTGGTTGCATAATCCTTCCTCCTCTGTTGTAAACAGCTGTTCTCCCAAACTTAGATCTTTTACAGGAATCATAAAAATAATCTCCAAAACTCTAAATAATCGAATCACGCTTGCCTCAAGTATTAAATTCGATCCTCCTAGACTCTCTAAGGTTTTAATTTCCTTTCCCTTCTTATTTTTCTTTTCTTTTTCGGATATTTTTTTTTTTTTGTTCGGAAAGAGGAAACAACTTTTTATAGAGAGATAGTTTAAGGGACGAAATTGTACCAAGATTTTGAAGTTTTTCCAAGGCAAACTGAATTTTCTTCTTTTGTTGAATCATTCCAATGAAATCGCAGATCTTCGTCTTCAGTGACTGAAAATCGCGTTGATCCTCTTTCTCTCCGAGGTTTTTGCACATATCTGCATATAGGATAATGAAAAACAAGAATGCATGTGGTTTGAAAGAAGTTAGGTTCGGTGGGGAACTAGCTAAAGATGAACTAGCCATTCAGGATCAACAAAGAGTGTTAAAAGGGTAAAGGAGTCATGAATGTATGATTCATTTCCCTGATCTAATGCTTTAATGAGAAAAATTAAGTCAAAATTAAGTCATATAAAGTGAGCTAGTATATCCTGTCAGAAAGAATCTCCATGAATAGAAGTCCTCTGGTGGGATTTTGTAATGCAAGTACTTAGCTACCGCCTAGTCTAGGGCTAAATCACAAAAAGAGCAAAAAACGAGAAAATGGCGTAGAAGCACACTGGTCTAATTCATCATAGTAATGTTTATTGTGTTCCTGGTTTGAAAACGTTTTGAAAAACATTTTGAAAACGATTTTTGAAAATTTTTTATGAAAAACTTTTTGAAAATTTTTATGTGTCCAAAACAAACTCAAAACAAATCAAATTTCATTAGTAATGGATGAACATTCTCCCCCAGACTTATTTCACACTGTCCTCAGTGTAATAAATCTCGGAAAGAATGGTAAAGAAAATAGAAAAGTTGAAATGTTTAAGTGTACTTACCGTGCTGGAGAGTGCTGCTCGTCTTTTTTATTTGTTCTTTTTTATTGAAAACCTGAAATTAAATGAAACAGAAGAAAAGCAATGGAAATAGAAAATAAAGGTCAAAGGGAAATAGATAAAATACCAAGTGGGTTGCCTCCCACTAAGCGCTTGTTTCAAGTCGTTAGCTTGACATTGTTGCTCGATTAGACTTAACCGGGGTCGTGACACTCCTTGGTCTTATCATTGGCCGATGATGGATCAATCAAAAACATCACTTCTCTTTCGTCTTCTCTTTCTTCAGCCAGATATGGCTTTACACGCTGTCCATTCACTGTAAATGAGTTTCCGGTTCTGTCCCACAGGACAATGGTTCCGTATGGCTTGACTTCCTCTATCGTGAAGGGTCCTGACCATCTTGAACGTAATTTTCCTGGAAAAAGCTTAAGACGAGTATTGAAAAGAAGTACCTTATCGTTAGGAGCAAAAGTTCTATGAATAATCTTCTTATCATGATATGCTTTAGTCTTCTCCTTGTAGATCTTCGAGTTTTCGTAAGCATTGTGTCGGATTTCTTCTAACTCGTGAAGTTGAAGTAGTCTTCTTTCTCCAGCTGTTTTCATGTTCATGTTCATCTCCTTGATAGCCCATTGCGCCTTATACTCGAGTTCTACTGGAAGGTAACATGCTTTTCCATAAACTAGATTGAATGGTGTTGTTCCTAATGACAATTCTAGGAACTCTGAAACGCGGGAATATCACAGATTTATACAGCTTCATGACGACTTTTGCATCATTAGTGGGACTAGCGACTGCTTCAACCCACTTAGAGACGTAGTCTACTGCTACTAAGATGTATTGGTTTCCAAAAGAAGTTGGAAAGGGTCCCATAAAATCTATTCGCCAGACATCGAAAATTTCGACTTCGAGAATATGATTTTGAGGCATCTCATTCCTTTTGCTTATGTTACCCATCCTTTTGCATTTATCGCATCACGATATATAAGCTTGAGTATCTTTGAACAAAGTAGGCCACCAAAAACCTGCTTGTAAGATTTTTGAAGCGGTTTTGAAAGTTGCGAAATGTCCTGCGTAAGACGAGCTATGGCATTCGAATAAAATTCCTTCCATCTCTTCTTCAGCCATGCATCTTTGGAATAACCCATCAGCACATATCTTGTAGAGATAGGATTCATCCCAAAAATATTGTCTTACGTCTTTCAGAAACTTTTTCTTCCTATAACCAAAGAATTGTGGTGGTTCTACATCAGCTGCTAGGTAATTCGCTATGTGCCTAAACCATGGGGTGTTGAAAGCATCTGCTCATCGCATGAGTTGGCGTGGTGGTGCGGTATTGGCATTGGTGGGGGTAGTATCTATTGCATAGATGTTTTATTCTGGCAAACTATCATTTAAAGGCAATCTTTCTTCAACTCGAATTCGTGAAAGATAGTCTGCAACTCCCTTATCTGCGCCTTTTTGATCTCGAATTTCGATATCGAATTCTTGCAGTAGGAGGATCCATCTTATCAACCGAGGTTTAGCGTCTTTCTTAGACATTAAATACTTGATTGCAGCATGATCAGTATGAACTATAACCTTAGATCCTACGAGATAAGAACGGAATTTCTCAAATGCAAATACGACAGCTAGAAGTTCTTCCTCTATTGTAGCATAATTGCATTGAGCTTTGTCAAGAGTTCTGCTTGCGTAGTAAATTACGTGCAGTTTATTATCTTTTGGTTGGCTAAGCACTCCTCGACTGCATAGTCACTTGCATCGCACATGATTTTGAATGGAAGTTCCCAATCAGGTGCTTGCACGACTGGAGCGGAAACAAGGGCTTGTTTGATCTTATGAAACGCGGCTAAGCACTCATCATCGAACTCGAAGTTCGTTTCTTTGCAAAGCAAACGCGTAAGAGGTCTAGCTATTTGAGAAAAAATCTTTTATGAATCGCCTATAGAATCCTGCGTGTCCTAAGAAACTATGAATTCCTTTTACGTTTATGGGAGGTTGTAGGCTGG